GCGGTGTGAGTGAAGGTCATCTACAATCATGTTTCATGTCCGAGCTACCTCGAGCTGCGCAAGCCTGGACCGCCGATGGGGCACCTGCCCAGCGGAGCAGCGGATGCCGTGAACATGACATGGGCGCCTGCTGACCAAAGGGGGCACGCTCTCCCGTCAGATTCCCGTCCGTCGGCCTCCGAAGCTTCGGACCGAAGCCGTTCCAACTGCTGCTGAAGCTCGGCCATGCCCGCAGCATCTTGCAAGGCAGCTGCCCGCTGTGCCTTGACACCACAGGGACGCGGGCTCTCGCCCGTGTCGCAAGTGTGCACGGCTCAGAAATCGTGCCTCCGCCTCGGCGATCTGCACCTTCAATGCTGGCACCTCAGCAAAGACTTCAACTGGATGTACCATGAACTACTCATCTCCCGTACATGCAAGACAATGCAACGCTTGTCGTGCATCAGGGCGTGCCAGTCACCAGTTTTTCAATTATAAAGGTTGGGCTGCCAACACTCCCTTTCGACTCTCCCACTGGGAAGACGAGACAGGTCCTGTCAGCACACCTAGAGCATAGACGGAATAGAAGGAACATTCATATACAAACATGTCCCACCAATAATTGAAGTCCTGAAGCTCTGAGATCGGGACCTCCACTGCTTCAGCCGTGAGTCTCTCGACTTCCAGCTGCAGCTTCTCGGCGGCTGCTTGCAATTCTGGCACCTGAACAGGCGTTCAGGGCCCCCTGCGCTGCAGCGATTTGGGCCCTGCAAGCGGCCCAGCCTGGGCGATCTCGGACTTCAAACGGTTCACCTCCTCCTGCAGCTCCGCAGAGCCAGCGGCATCTTGGGCGGCAGTTGCACGTTGCGCCTTGCAACCGGTTCTTTTTGCCGGCAGCGGTAGATGCTTGCGCACAACATTGGTGTATGCCCACGGCCCCCACCTCGCTGTCGGCCAATTTTGACTGTGCCTCCGCAGCTTCTGCTTGAAGTCGCTGAACTTCTTGCTGAAGTTGCTCCGCCGCTGCTTGCGCTTTGAGGGCAGCCTCGCGCTCCACCTGCCGTAAACTGCGCAGCGTGCCGTGCACGTGCCAGGAACGCCACCTTCACTCAGCAGCCAAACTGGGCTCTCCCCACCTCGAGCTCCGCATGCCTGCTCCGCATCTCATGCACCTGACCACAGTGTGCATACCCGATGTACCCGATTTCTCAGGGAGAAGTACACAGTACAGTTCAGTACAGTTGGGGTTGTCTCACGCTCCGTGTCTTCAACATGCTCGTCTGAGGCTTTGCGGGGATTCGGTTCCTCAAGCTGGAGAGATCCAGCAAACAACTTTCTAGCTCCTGTCTTTGACACGCTTGGACTCTCAATTTCTCTCACGTCTCGCATGTTTCACCCCCCATTGCCATACCCACACCCAAATCGCACAAATATTTCCGTATCTCTCCGGCCTGCGCAGCTTCCTCCTGCAGCCTCTCCATCTTTTGGTGAAGCTCTGCAGATGCTGTGGCATCTTGCAAAGCAGCATGCTGCGCCTTGTTTGCTTGCAAAAGGACACTTCGTGTCAGCATGCTCGCGGAACATCGTGGAACGGGCAGGTTCCGCACCTCCACGCCTGCGATCTGTGCCTTGAGTGCCGGCACCTCGAGGCCCGCGGCAAAGATATGAGGAACACAGCCAGCATGGATTCCATGGATTATCCGCCGCTGCCGCTGTGTTGCCTGCCTCCGCAGATTCCTCCCGAAGCATCTCCATCTCGAGCTGGAGTTGCTCAACTTCTTCTGCTGCTTCGAGCGCGGCATTTCGCATGGCCTTCGCATTTATCCATTGTGTCTCGAGTCTCACTGCGCCAGCCTTGCAGCATCACGTGCAAACGGCCTCAAGCTCAGCTAGTTTGCCACGCAACTCCGGAACCTGCAGCAAGAAGCTTCAACCATAAATCGCAGCTGCCCAGTGCGACTCGTGCTTGCACAAAATCTTACTGTGCTGCCGGAATTTTGTCGCTTCAGCCCCTGCAACCGCCTGGATCATCAAAAGCAGGGACACCAGGAGTCAACACAGGACAAGCAAAAAGTGCAGGAATAGTGGCGTGAGTAAAGATACCAAACACGCTGAGAAGGCTTGCGTGGACTCAGACTGTAGACATCTTCAGTCTGCCCAAGCCACAACGGGCCTCTGATTCCAGTGCTGCCAGCTGTGCCATGCACGCTGCGCGCGCCTCGTCGGACTCCCGCCTGCTCAAAAAGAATCAAAAGACACTCGCGCGTCTGGTGGATGGCTTTCGGTGGGGTTTCGACTCTCACATGGTTTAGGGCCTGTTTCGACTCACACACTCGCACAAGGCTGGCATGGCGGAGTTTACGCTCTCACAACTCGGACATGCCAGGCGAGGTCAACGGCGGAGTTTAGGGTTCTACATGCGATGGCTTAGTCCGACGAACTCGCTGGTTTCAACATCGACATCACCTCAGGATGCTGGTAGCTAGCTTTCCTCTGCCCCGCTTGCTCTCTGCCAGCTGATCCTTCGAAGGACAGCAGTCAGTTTATCCGCATGCCAGCAGCCGAACGTTGACAAAGGGGGGTTGAGGATCGACAAGCCGGGCGTTCGGGTGTATACACAAGTGGGCTTACGACTTGATGCCTCTGCAACAGCTTCAGGCTACAGTTTGTCGCCTGTCTTGAGGCCGAGAATGGCCTGGACATGTTCCCTTTCAAGGCCTGATGAGGGAGCCAAGTTCCGAGTCTCTCCAATGCTTCCGCCGATGCAGACAAGATGCTTGGCCAACTCCGCCGCTAGCAGCTGCTCCTGTGCTTCGTTCATGCATTGCGCCTTGCGACAACCCATCCAGAAGATATATTCCACGGTAGGCGGTAGAGCAACGATGAGGATCACAACAGGAGTATCTTCCAGATCAAGTTTCCTGCACAATGCTCCCAACCAAGCTTGACACGACGTTCCTTGATCGATGTTAAACTGTTAGTGGCACTGGAGCCAAGTGAGTAATTAGGATCAGCTTCCGGATGGGTTTGGTGACGTGGCAGGAGGGGCCTCTCCGCAAAGAGTAATAGAGTAAATGATCCTCGGGGACGTGACCCCGCGTCCTCCAGTGACCTCAGGCGTTCCTGGTTTTCCCCGAGGCCGCGATCCTCCTGCACGCCAACGGAACGGAGCTCGGGTTAGTAAAAGCCGAGGGGAGTGGGGCGCAGCTGTTGCGTGAATCGCCCACTGCTGCACAGGACGAGCTGGTTTTGCAACTAGGCTGGCGCACGTCAGCCCCCGGCCGGATGCGGACTGTTCTCACATCTCGGCCAGGAGAAACTCATTGAAAGAGACGATGTTCTTCTACGGCAGGCAGTGACGCAACCAAATCCCGATGCCTGGTACACCATCATTCTTGTGCACTCTGTGCTGGAAAGGTGACCTAGACATGAGTCGATGTGTCTCATACAAGTATGGCCCTCGAGCTTGTCGTACGGTATGCCACCTGCCGCAGGCACTGTCGCCTGCCAAACTCTTGACACCATTTGACACACATGCAAGCTAAGCGTGGATAAAGGGCCTCAGCATCTAGCTGTTCGCCCCTAATTACACCGACTGAAGCTAACTCCACGGGGTGTGGAGTCACGTTCCCCGTGCCCTTGCCTTGCTTACGTTGCCCCGCACCTGCCTGCGCATGCCTCAAGTTGGTTTCACCGGGCAAGGGTCGGACCAACGAAATCCCAAGACAGCCGCTTAGAGGAGCAATGGCCACCGAACCCTGCATCCTAACTGGAAGAAGTGGTGGGTGGCCTGCGACGCTCGTCCGAGTAAACCCGAGGCCGGAAGGAGTTATGAAAACGCAGCGTTGATTAGAGCAGCAGTGATGGGAATTTACTGTAGCTCACCTAAAGGCCTAGCCGCAATGAATCATGGCTTCATTTCCCAAACTCCAAACCCCACCCGGACCATACCCCTTTTTTGGCTGTTTGTCTGTGGTTGCGACATTCTCTGATTGCTGGTCTTCTCCGATCGGTCGTGGGACACTTGTCGGCGCGGTGTAACCAAAGAACACTGTCACCTGAGCATACTTCTCTTTCGTGCAATTGCCTGGTTTACTGATGTTTTCTTTCCCAGCGCATTGGGCCTCTATCCGCGATACGAATTAGGCTGGCAGGAGCCGCGGCAAGCACTCCAGAAGAGCAGAGGTGCTCCGGACACCAAGCTCCGCCTTGTTTTGGTTTGAAACAGTGACGGACAATCTGACTCAACAGAGTCACTCAGGGCCAGCTGCGACAAGCACTGCTTGGGCCGCACCTACTCAGACAATAGACGCCTGCAGTGCGAATTTACAAAAGCTGAATGCGATTCTCAGGTTTGCAAGACCCAAAGAGTTGCAGTGCAGCTGCAAAGCAATCCTCAAATGCAGTGTTCTGATGGCCGCTTGCATGTTTTCCCCGTCGCAGTCGAAATCGCCATGCTTTGGAGGACGGCATATGTTCTCTTTCAAGCAAGCTTCACACACTGTCATTGATGGAGGTTGGCACAGTGTTCGTGCCTTTAAATCGGCATAGCCATCGAGGCGATGTCCCACTTAAGCCCCCACCAGTCCAAACCCGACATGGTAATGACGAGCTCGCTGAACTCATGGCATCCTGCATAGGTTGTACAAAGGTTCAAACAAACAACACTTCCAAGTGGGACAGCATCCGATTCAGCGAAACGGCGCTCGCGGCACAATTCACCGCACAAGCTTCCAAGATGACTGTAGCTCCCAGAGGGCAACGACCTTTTCGGGCCAAGCCGGCCGGGGCCTTGAAAGGGACAGCGTCTCGGCAGTGCTGCCAGTTCTTGCTGGAGCCCTGTTCTTCTGCAACATGCTGGCAGGAAGGGCTACCTCACCGACCTGAACAGATTTTTTGTTTTTTTTGCATCCCGCCTGGCGGTGTCTAAGCCCGTGCAACTGCAATGCAGGGTCGTGTTGCTGTTTCTAAGGTTCATACAGGGCCAACAATGCTACGAGGTGCCTTGGCGCATGAAGAAGCATCCCTTTCCAGCATTGTGCCTTGAAATTGTACTTATTGACCACAGTCAACTGCACTCCCGTTGCCGGGAGGTCCAAACTGTCTCCGGTCAGCGGCACCTTGGCTGGACCTGTGAATTCTTCTTGACCCACCCAAGCATCATAAGTAACCTTTTCGCCAAGAATCACTGACAAGTATGGGGGCACTAAACATGCCCAGGACTGAAGCAGAGTGCTGCAACACGACTCCGTGCAAAAGCTGAACATGGCCCATGCATGCTGGCTGTTTCGCACTTCTGTCGCGACGAGAAATAATTAAGTGGAGATCTACCGTCGCCCAGGCAAGACCAGGCAAGACCCGCCTCTGCGCCTGTTGTCGTGGCTGTATTTCATTTAGTGTCACCGGTGCCAGTATCAGCCATAAAATGGTGATGGTGGTGGTGGTGGTAGTCGTAGTCATGGTAATAGTAGTACGTCGTAGTAGTAGTAGTAGTAGCAGCAGCAGCAGCAGCAGCAGCCGGAGTAGCAGCAGCTGCAGCAGGGGGAGGACGAAGAGGTAGCGGTAACAGTAGTGGTGGTCGGTGTAGGTTTGGTGATTGT